TAAAATTTTGTAATTTTAGCAAATAATAATAAAGAAATTCGCATTATTAAAAAAAGTCTGTGAATTGTTAAGTTTATAAGCCTACTATGAGGCTCGCGAGCCTACTATAAAGCTCAGCTCGACTCGAGCCTAACTTATAAACTCAGGCTTGAGCCGAGCCTAAGACTTTTGGGCTCAGCTCGGTCTGAGCTTTATGAGGCTCAGCTCGGCTCGACCTATGAGGAGCTTTAATTATATATATATTATATAAAATTATATAAAATTTGTGTAATAATAAATAAAGCTATTAATTTGTATGATTTATTTGGAAAAAGCATTCAAATACAATATGACTATTATACTTATCGAGTACCTGACAGATATAATAAATAAAAGTATCAGAGAATCCAATAGATGTAATAAAAAAATATCAGACACCTATCAGAAAGGGGAATATATCACTGATAGGTTCCCGATATTAAATAAAAAAATTGGATACCCGATTGATATAAAAAAAATAGCTGAAAAATAGGTGTCTGATATGTGTAGTATATGTGACCGATAAGTTCCTGATAAGTGTCTGAGATTAGGGAATAAGACGATACTTATTGGGTACCCGATATATGTCAAAAAAAGTATATCGGGTATCTATTAGGTATCATGATAAGTGCTTAATAGGTGTCCGATATATCAGATTTTAACCAGTGATAGTTCTGGTAATTTCAAAATCACTAAGCCACATTGTCAAATTTGATATAATATTGTTATTTAAATTTCTTTTGTTATAATCAATGATATATCCTAATAATGTAATAAATAATAAATTAATTAAAATTCTTAATAATAATATAAATAATAATAAATTAATAATTTTCCTCTAATATTTAATAAATAATAATAAATTTTATCAACAATAATGTAAATATCAGGAAATTTAATTAGGCGTAGATTTACAGAAATATAACATGACTTCTAGAAATTTATACCTGAAAAATTTGATTTTTTAACTTCAACCGAGATTTAGGTAACAGGAAGCGATTTTCTACTAAGATATTTCTAAGATAGATCGAAAGCCCTAGTTTTTGATTACAAGATGATATGTGTTTTATTACTATAGCATCAATATTCGTGAAGACATTCACGTTTAAATTTAAACATTCGTGAAAATTTATGTCATAATTTTTCTGTAAATTTTTATAATTCTGCCAGAAATTTTTATTACGTCACAAAAATTTCTGACAGAATTACGAAAATTTATAGAAAAATTATGGTATAAATTTTCACGGATGTTTGAATTTAAACATAAATGTCTTCACGAATATCGATGTTATAGTAATAAAACATATATTATCTTGTAGCCAAAAACCAGGGCTTTCGATCTATCTTAGAAATATCTTAGTAGAAAATTGTTCCCTGTCACCTAAATCTCAGCTGAAGTTAAAAAATCAAATTTTTCAGGCATAAATTTCTGGAGGTCATATCATATTTCCGTAAATCTATGCCTAATTATATTTCCTGATGAAATAATAATAAATTAATTAATTTCCCTCTAATATTTAATAAATAATAATAAATTTATCAATGATATTAAATAAATAATAATAAATTTCATCAATGATAATAATAAATTATCAATATTTAATAAATAATAATAAATTAATTAAATGATAATGTAAATAATATTAATAATTTCCTCTTTAATATTTAATAAATAATAATAATATTTTTTTTTTGTTCCAATGAGATCTTACCTCGAATTTATTAATTAGAAAATGAGAAAGTTTTTTACATTATATAAGATTACATAATACAAAATACATAATTTATTCTAATGTTTATTTGAAAAAATGAGATTCAGACTAAATTATGAGAGACGGGCCTGCAACCTATTGTCTGAATAAATAATAATAAATTAATTAAATGATAATGTAAATAATATTAATAATTTCTTCTCTAATATTTAATAAATAATAATAAATTAATTAAATGATAATATAAATAATTATAAATTAATTAATTTTCTCTAATATTTAATAAATAATAATAGTTTTCAATAATAATATAATATTTTAAATAAATAAACTTCCTTTGTTATAATCAACAATAATATAATATTTTAATATTAAATTAATAAATAATAATAAATTAATTAATAAAAATTTAAATACCTTCATAAACAGACTTTTTTTTTTATCTAACAAATTACTTGTTCTAATAGATTTCGAATAGTGTGAAATTTTAGAAATCATTTGTAAAAGTTCTGTAAAATCAAAATCTGTTCTGATCTGCTATGCTATTTCAAATATATGTTCACATGTCTCAGAACTATGCATCTAAAGTAATAAAGGAAATTCAGAATAATATTTACTATATGACTAATAAGAAGAATCATAGTTTCAGAAAGAGAATTAAAAATAGAAAAACTTTGAATTGTCATAAAATTTTGTTGGATAAACATGAAATCAGGATAATTTCATGTTATAGTTTCAACATGATATCATCAAAGTCTTAAAAAAAAATATGCCATTATACACATTCTTATACATTCAACTGAATATATTTCTCTATTTAAGTAATTATCTACAAGTTCACTTATAAAATTATATAAAATAATAAATAATTTTCTTTTTGAAATAAAAATAAAAATTATTACTTACCTAAAACAAACAAATAAATAAAATAACCTTTGTATCCTTCCTTTATCTTATTTTTATTTAAATATTGTGCTAAATTTTAATAATAAAAAGACTAATATATTATCCTATCATCTTGTCCGTCTAGTTTTATAACATTATTTTTATATAATATGGAAGTTGGTAAATTAACTAAATTAAGAAAATGTTTAAAGTTTGTTATATATTTTTCAAATGTTAAAACTCGTGCACCAGATATTACTATATTACGTACTGTTTTCTTTGCATGTTTGGGATCTTGAATTCAAAGTACTGATCCAATATTTGATAAAATTGAACAGTTGAAATTGATATTTTTTGTTAGATCTATAATTTCTATCTTATTAGTAGTTTGTATATTTATAATAATAGATTGTGCTTTAAATTCGGCAGCTGCACCATCTGATCCAATTAAAATTATAGAAATATTTAATTGAGAAGTAATCACTAAAAGTAATTTTTTATAAAGATTTGTGATGGTATTTGCAGAATCTCTTCCATTATTTGGTATTAGAGTAATTATAACCAAAGGAAATTTTGGTAATGGTACCTAATAATAATTTTTTTAATTATTATTTATATTAAAATTATTAAATTAAATAATTTAAATAAAATATTATTTGTTTTAAAAATATTACCTGCAAGATGTAAACATGAACGTAATTCATAATCTTTTTTTTATTTTTTATTAATTGAATAATTTTTGAAATATTATTATTTTTATTTCTTCTTGTAATAAAGTGAAGCCAATAATACATCCAAGTTGTGAAGAGTATTATAAACTAGGTTTTAATTTGATATTATTACTCATGGTTACAATTGGTTCTTTATAATTAACCTTATTCAAGAATCTTTTAAATTGTGTAATATTTTCAAAATAAAGATTTAGATTTGTAAGTGCATCATTCAAATTCATCTAAAATTAAATAAAAACAGTTAATTTATATTTTTTTAAAAAAAATTATTTATATTAAATATTTTAAATTACCTTATACTTTAAATACTATGACTAGCTAAATTTTGATAAAACAAATCTAATACCTGTAGATTAATAGTTTCAAGTATAACTAAAAAATTTGTAAATTCTTCAGAATATTAAAAGTTTCATGTTTCTTTTCCTTCTTCTTTACGATTTATAACTTGACACATAATACTACATAAACCTTTAAATATATTCAAATTATCAAATACTCCTTTAAGACCTTTAGTTATAATAGTAATTCAAAGATTTGAGTTTATTGAATTATCTTTATTCTTAAATATATTTCAAATGACTAATAAGTCACTATTTTTTAAATATTTTTTTAACTTATTATTTTCAAAATATCAGTTTGGTGTAAATTTTAAATTTTTTTCATTAGGTTTTGTAACTCTTACACAATTAGTTAATTTTGCATTTGATTTTAAATTTTTATATTTAGTGCAAAGATAATTATTGGTGTATTCACTATTGCAATTTTTATCACGTACACAAAAATCTATTTATTTATAATATAATTAATAATTAATAAAAATATTTTTATATAATAAATTTAAAAAAAAATATTTTCTTTATTAATCTTTCATTCAGCTTCAGTATAAATTTGTCTATTCAATTTTCTTTTTTGAGAAACATTTAATTTTTTTCGTGAAAATTTATCTATAAACAATAAAAGAAACAATTCTTTTTCAATTACTTTTATATGTCATACATCACCAGCTTGTGTAGGTGTTTGTTCAATATAGTATCTAATTCTTTGAGAATGTAATTCAAACAACAAATTCTTTTTTTTAATTGCTTATTAATTGATAGATCTTCATCATCATTTAATAAAATATCATTTGAATTTGAATTATTATAATTATTATATATATCTTTTTCAGAATCAACTATAATTATATCATTATCATTTATATTATCACAAATATCACTATTATATTTTTCTTTAGAACTAATTTCTTTATTTTTATTAGAAATAATATTATTAAAGAAATAATAAATTAACCTTTGTCCTATTTTTCGTTTACATCTATTTCCATTAACATGTCTATTTAAAAAATCTTCATCACATTTTCTACTTAACTTTATAATTTTTCCACAGATATAAATAACTTTTTTCAGATTAATTATAGATGTACAAAATATACTTGCACGCAAAATTATTTTGGGGTCCCGAAATTGCAATTTCAGGGAAAAAAGTTAAAATAGTTTTTCATAGAAAACGAAATTATTTTACTTAAAACCCAAAATTTTTTGACCACCCAGATTTATTCTTTGATTAAAGATACATATAACTAGGTACTTTTTTTACTTCCATATATAGAATAGATTTTGTATAAATCTCAAAAAGTCGAAATACCTCAAAAATCCAAAATCAATTTTGAAAACATATATAGTACAAAATTTATGTTTAGCTAATCTTTTCTTAAAATATTTTTATCTATTTTTATTTATTTTTATAAAACAATAAATTTTTAAAAAAAAAATATTATGCAATAAAACACGACACACGTTTTTATATTTTAAAGTTATAAATTTGAAATTTACTAGAATATATCCTCCCTAAAATTGATATCCATTATACTTTTTTTTTATAACTTAAATAAAAATAGCTATTATTATACAAACTTTAATTATAACTTACATAAAATATGCAATTCTATGTAAATAAATTCTTATGACATTTTATTTTTTTTTATAAGATGATTATGTAAACTATAGATATGACTTATAATATAATATTTTGAGATCTTAGGCTTTTCATATTGTATAAATGTGAGTTCTTCGAATGTTAAGCTATTAATACTTTGCGAAAGTTCATCTATTTTAACATTTATAATTTATATTGGTTATATATATTTGATAATAATTGAAAAATTATAATAAGAAATTTTCGCACTTTATATAATGTCATTGATTATTCTATTACTTCTTGAACTAGATTTAAGTTCATTATCTGATATATAAATTATTTCATTATTTTGATTATCTTTACTATTATCCTATATAAATAAAAGATTATTAAAAATTATTAATATTATATAACAAATTTTATAATATTTCATTAATATTAATTACTTCTTGCTTAGATATAATGATATCAGATTCATTTTGAATAAAAATTTCTTCAAAATTATTTGAACTACTTAAATCATAATTTTTGAAATATCTGTTTACATGCTGACTATAAACAGAATGGTTTGAAAGAACACGATTACAAAAAGAACATGTGAAAGTCATTATTATCTTTAAATGAATAATTGGAAAGAATGATTAATAAAATAATGGAATTTGATTAATTTAAATATTTTAATACTTATAAATTACAATCGTTATTTAACAATTATAATTTTTCAAATTTGAAAATTTATTACTTATTTAATATTGATTTAAAACATAATATAATATTATTATGATTCAATGCAACACAATTATCTATACTAAAATATATATTTAATCAAAGATAATGAAAATTTTTCAAGGAGAATTTCATAAAATTTCTAAATTATAAAAATATACGTAATATAATTTAATTATGAAATTTATTTGAAAATAATATGACACCTCAAATAAAGAAAATATCATGAAATACATTATTATAAAAGAATTTGTAATTATAAGATATTTTAAAGCATGATATTCCTCATTACATTAAAGGAAGGAACATTATATAAAAAGAATTTGTTGAAGATCAATAATCAAATCTGTGAAAAAATTAAATTAAAAATAAAATATTTCATTATACAACATTATTATTTATATATATAAAAATGGTTTACATTATTGACTCTAGTTGTCAAATCTTATTATTATTATATTTTATTTATTTATTATATTATTATTTTATTAACATGTATTAGCTTATAACCATATCTTATTAATTTAATTTCATATTAGTATATATTATAGGAAACTATTAGCATAAATCATTTACACTGGTTGAAAATTGATAAAACATACACATATTGGATATCCGATATGTGCATGGTGTTTTCCTAATATCGGGCATATATCAGGTACCTGATATGTGTATGTTTTATCAATTTTTGACCAGTGTTAGAAATTGGTATAACTATTAGGTATTATAATTGTAGATCTGAATGTAATCAACAGTGTAATGAACAGCGTAATCAATAGTGTATTCAATAGTGTAATCGATAGTGTAATAGATAGCGTAGTAGAAAGTATAGTTAATAATGTATATATTAGCATAATTAATAGTACATGCATTAGTGTAGTCTACAGTGTAATCTATTATAACTTCAATTATGTATATAAAGGGCTGAATTTCTCTTTGCTCAGTTCTCAGTTCCAATTTAGTTCTTTGGCTAGTTCAGTAGCTAACTCTTAGTTCTTGTTAATAAAATACTTTGTGATTTACCTTATAAATAATAAATACCTTAGTGAATTATTATTTATACCATTGTAATTTCTTAGTGAAATTCTGTATTATTTCTAGATGGAATATCAAAACCCTTGTTGAATTATACCTTGCTTTGTGATCTTGGTATACTGTTTTTGTGTTATAATTCTCTACTTAGTATTAAGAATTATCAATTTAATTTAGTTTAGTTATATTCTTTGTAAATAGATTAGTTTAACCCTTATAAAAATCTCATAGCCTTGCCTCTTTCAAACAAATCTGCAATATTTAAATTCTTCAAACATCATACTTTTTAGTATAAATTAGTTAGTAGTTTATTATATTCTAGTTTAGCTACCATATCTTTAGCTAATTGTTAATCATATCTCTTGAAGGTTGGATCATGGTCAACAACATATAAAACATTATTTTATACCAATGAATCTTAATCTTAAATTTTCACTTTGTGGATGTCGATGGGTCAACTTGTTGTCTAGATTAAATTATTGATAGTTTAGTTTAGAGTAGGTAATTAAAATACAACATGTAAATTTAACATTTGTTTTATTTAATAAAGTGTCTAACAAGACTCTGATGGTTAAAAAAAAATGAAATCTTAAAAGTAATACTAAGTAATATTGAAAAGAATATTATTACATATTTACTATAAATATTTCAAGCCTATATCATGCAAACAGAAGAAATAATTAACAATTAAACTTTAATAAATAAATTAATAACTCCTTTAATTCTTAATATGTAGATTTTAAACTTTTATAGTAAATGTAAAATAGTACTATCTTCAAGTTTACTTAGTATCACTTTTGAGATTTTTTGTTATAAAATAATGTTTTATATGTAACAATGATTGATAATTTTCTTCAAACAGTAAAATAATTGATAATAATTTGTTTTTAAATCTGTTAAGCATAATGGATAATCCAAATTACATAAACTTTTTTTTAAATGAATTCTAAGATCAAAGCCTATAATATGATACCTTGTTTGCTAAAATTGAACATTTGTTTGTACATTTGTTTTAAATAAAATTAATTAAAAAAGTCAAATCAAATTATTGATTGTAAAGTCTCTCGATTTTGATGAATATTTACTTTAGATACAAATATCTTATAATTATTTGTAGCTAATAATGAGAGCTACAATTTTTATTAAAACCATTTTTAATATTTATTAGTAAAAATTAAAACTTTACTTAAGCCCAAATAAAATTTCTAATAATATATAAAGAGCTACTACTACTTTTATTAAAACTAATTTAACATTTTCTAGTAAAAAAAATTTTAGAGATGTAGCTTCTAAATAAA